GAACATTTGGTAAATTGCTCAGATGATTGGCTTTTGACGGACTGGACCACGGGAGGCGTTGATGCATCGAGTCTGACTACCTTCGTCGGAACTGGGCTTTTGCCTAGTGACAGGGCCGTGGTTTCAATTAACTGTCAGGCTCAGTCCTCGCAATGAGCGAATGAAGGTCAACCCAACCTGGATGCTACCTCCACCCTATGAGAAGAGGTGTCTCAGGTAAGGACCAATGCCTTTTTTAGTATATCAGAATGGCCTTCATGTAAAAGATAGGGCAGAATTGTTCAGTTGTTCTAAACCCTGGGAAAGAAACAAGAGAATTTAAATATTTCTCATATTTAAATCTGCAGATAATACAAAATTTGGCAGGGTAACTAGTAACCAGTGGTGGGTTCTGGATCCCGTTGCAACCAGTAAGGTGCAACGGGGTCCGGCATCCTCCACATGAACACGTGTAGCACACGCATGCTTCCTTACCTCCTGCGGTGCTCCACGACGCTCCAGCTGCTCGGCAGAGCATCGTGCAGGTGCTGTACGCTGCATGCCCGGAAGCACCAAAGAGCTCAAATAAGTAAAGCGCACGAGCAGGTGGGTGGGCCCTCCATAGCACCGGAATGGTACCCGGTGCTCCCGGCAGGCATCAGTACACCCTTACTGGGGTGTACCAGTCGTAACCCACCACTGCTAATAACCTAGAAGAGGGAAGTAACACTAAAAGCTATGTTACAGGCTAGAGACATGGGATGAAAATAACTGAATAAAATTTAAGAGAAACATGCAAAGTTCTTCACTTAGGAAATGGACATAGAAGTAGACAGGTAAAAAGCCTGAGTATGTGTGGATACCTGGTTTGGTAATAAGATGTGTGAAAAGAATAAGAGAGTGCAGTTGATCACAAGCTGAACATGAATGAGCTATGGCCCATGGTTGCTAAAATGGCCATTCACAACCAAATCCTGTTCAAACTACATTTCATACAATCTCCACCAGGATAGCCAAATTTATTAGTGGATTATGGGAATTGTTTGGGAAAGACTTTTCTAAAGTTCCTTTTCTCTGCAGTTTGGTTTCATAGATGCAGGATTTTTCTTCTGAGTCAGAATTATTGGATTTTTTTTAATTAAAGAAGCATTACAATGTTCTTGGTTATACTTTTTATTTTTCAAATCATAAGCATTTTATAGATTGTATTTTGTACTTAATTGTTTTTGTATTTTCTTTAATTCAAAAATAATATGTTGCTATCTTCCATATAGGAACCTTTAATATGGAACAGAATTCTGAACAAAAGAAGGATGCCTCTTTTTCTGATTGCCTGAATTTTCCAAGTTCTCCAGCAAGGCTGCAGCCTAGAAGACACTCAGCCATTTGGACAAACAAAGAGCTAGTCAACTGTGCAGATCAACCCATAACCAACTTAAATGTTATTCAAACAGAATATGCTAAGACTCTGCATTTAAAGAATATTGCTGTGCTTGACAATGATGAAAGGATAAGGTAAGCTTTCATTCTAGATTGAACACAATATCTTCTATGTTTTTTACATTACTCTTTTATCTTTTCTCTCAACATTTAAAAAAACAGTTTAAGGAGGTAGACACAGAACAGTTTCGCAGTTGTGGATATTCCAGTTTCTTTTGAGAAGTAATATCCAAAATGCTTCATAATTCTTCAAAATTTAACACCCAAACATCCCTTTTTTCAGTGGGAAACTTTGCACAGTATGTATTGTTTTGTAATATTAATGTGGTGTATAATGTCTTAACATATTGTTGGTCCATTAGGTAAAGTCAAATTGATGTAATAAAAATAGGATGCCAGTAAACTTAAGAAAGCAACTAGATTTTTCTCAAGTGATTATAGCTTGAAAATATATGCATTGATACTTATACTTTTTCAATTATGTTCATATTTCATGTTAATAAAGAGGTAGTCAATCTTTTGGGACGGTTGAAGGGCATCTTTGAAATGGCAACCTTGTTTTGCCTTACTTCCCACAAAATGGCTGCCAAGATGAGCGTGGATTAGTCACAAACCTCCCATTAACCAGTGGATAAATTGGTGCAGTTGATCTGTTCCAGCAATCTACAAACACTTTTTTACCAAAATGTAAACCTAAAGCTGTTGAATTGAGTTTGACAGCATCCATGGATTTTTCTTGGTACCATTAATGAAATGTAATCTAGACTTTAATCCTGTTACTGGGCACCTCTATCAACCATGCTTAGGTGCTTTGCCTGCTGAGGCAACTTACTTTAGTAGTTTCTAACTTTCCTTTAAATGAGTTTGCATCCTTGGGTGGGCCTGTAACTGAATATAGTCTAGGCTCCCAATAATCAAGAAAAAGAGAAGAAAAGCAGGGACTTAGCACCTTAAGAAATATCGACCTGGATTTTAATGACTACAGTTATTGCCTACTGTTGAAAACTGAAATCAGGGAAAGCTACGTCACTATGGCAGCACAATACAGTAACTTTTTTTAAAAAAATAGGCATGCCTCCGTTGTTACTACCTTGAATCAGAGTCTAATACCATCTTCCAGAGTACATTTAGAGGAAGCTCAGAGGAAGAAGAGTAAAATGAAATACTGTTCCAAGAAAAGTCAATTCAGGTAACATTAGGTGGTATCCCAGTTCTTTCATTTATAAGCAAGCATGCTCAGTTCCTTGTAAGTTGTTACAATAGTTACCAATCACATTGCAACTTGTTACATATGTATATGTTGTTTGTGAATGACTTGGGAAAATCCACAATAAGTGCATTTTTCTATTTCCTGGTTGCATAGCATACGTACCAGGCCTTTAGTGTGAACAGTTCTCTGGTTTTTATTTTCATATCATATATTGCATATTCTAACTTTTCCTTTAGGCCTTTCAGGTTCAACTCTTTTTTATTTCTATTACATCCTCTCAATAGCAGTAGCAAATGATATGGTTTTTTAAAAAAAAATTAAGTACTGAATTTCTAAGGAGTCGAATTGAAGTAGTTCAATTTGCATTTTACTGTTTTGAACGTAACACAAATCTTAAGATGCCATGTGAAGTAGCGGCAATATCTGACATACATTGTTTCAAAATTGAGGACAGATGTTCATGGCAGATGTCAAGAAATGAATCTGGACTCACTCCAGATTACGAACCCTGTGTTCTGTACTCAGTGATGATCCTACCCTGAATTTGGCCCATTTGTGAGTGATTGGAAGATCCTTTTGAATTTGTCATTTTCCATTTCCTTTTTTAATATAGTACTTCTACTGAAAAACAAGAAGGAAAAGTCAACTCTGTGACTGCTAATCTAGATAAAGAAAAGAATATTGCATTCCTTTTAAATGAATTGGATGTTCTAAGGGCAAACAATAAGAAGGTACAACCTATTAATCTAGTCACAAATATCTGTATTCTTTATTCTAATTGACAATGTTCAGGATTTGTTGTTGTTGAAGAATGAATATTTATGATATAATTCATGATTTGTTGATTTTAGGATATTACTTTTGTTTCTTTGATGTGTTAATATTCTGTAAAGGAATCGGCTCTAGTAGAGGGCTTATGACTGTGATCTTGATCTTTTTTCCAAATGTTTTTCAAATTAAAGAAATTTGAGAAGATAGAAATTGTTCAGGATGTGCCACCATATAATTAAACATTTAGAATAATTTTAGTTGTAGATCAAGACAGATAAGGAATTACACACATATTAATCTGTTTAATCTACATTGATGGGTAGGAGATCCATTGTACATTACTGAATTTTACATTTCAACTGCATTGCAGTCAGTCTGTACAAACTCTTGGAAGTGAATTCATTACTTAAACCATCCTACGAATTAGTGGTTGTTTACCTCTGTTCCATGTCCCCTGGAGGGCCATGATGGCATCACAGGACCAAGGCTTGAAGGAATCTTATGATTTAAATCTTCACTTGAAATAAGTGTTAGGGGTCTGTGGCCATGGTCCGTGGCCACAAAAGCAATGGTGAAATTGTTTACTACCAGTTCTGTGGGCGTGGCTTGGTGGGTGTGGCAGGGGAAGGATTCTGCAAAATCTCCATCCCCACTCCAGGGAAGGATACTGCAAAATCTCATTCCCATCCCACTCTGGGGCCAGCCAGAAGTGGTATTTGCCAGTTCTCTGAACTATTCAAAATTTCCACTACTGGTTCTCCAGATCCTGTCAGAACCTGCTGAATTTCACCCCTGCACAAAAGGTATTTAAAGGAGCCCCATGGTGAAGAAAAGATTAAGAACCACTGCTGTAAATGAATGATATTTTTTCATAACATTTAAGATTTTCAACATATTATTTTTCCAATATATTAGCAGAACTTACTTATCAAAATCTCATTGTAAAATACAATTGAATATCCTCAAATAGGAGAAATCCAGAATGTTTCCTGAGTAGCAGAGGAAAAATATTGGAGAAATTGGGTGAAAATCATGGTTGTGGCTTCAATACTGAAAAATCAGATTGAATTATGTTATTACACAACTTAATTATTTATTATGAAATCATTTAATCAGTTTTGCTTATAGTTCTTCCTTGTTTTAGACCAGACTTCTATATCTAATGGTCTTCAGTGACCATGGAACTATAAACCTCAGGTTTCAAAATCAACATAGTCCTTAGGGATACTGAACATGAATGCCCAACCCCTCTGGTGGAGTAGAGAGCCCTTGAAAACCATGCTAAATTAAGTTTATTGATTTTAATAGCAGTGATTTAGCAATATTATTGTTCAAAAAGGACATGAGACAAAGACCTTTGGCTGTGCTTCTCAAAAACCTGAATTTCTGAAGCAACTTATGACACCAACAAGGTAGGTGGGAAAGGATGGGTGAAAAAGCGCAGTTATCTATGTGGTTCTTGTAAGCTTCCATCTCTTCAGCACCAGAAATGCTTTTTCTGAACTTACTACTCCACAATAGAGAATTCATTCAGTTATAAAATGAAGATTACTACCATTCAGAGGTGGGTTCCTACCAGTTCGCACCTATTCGGTAGAACCGGTTTGTCAAATCTACCGAACCGGTTAGAAGAG